ACATACAACCCTAGCAAACAGGTGAGACACAGGTGAGACAGAAGTGAGACAAGTGAGACAGGGACACAGGTGAGACAGGTGAGACAGGTGAGACAGAAGTGAGACAAGTGAGACAGGGACACAGGTGAGACAGGTGAGACAGGTGAGACAGAAGTAAGACAAGTGAGACAGGTGAGACAGGTGAGACCAGTGAGACAGAAGTGAGACCAGTGAGACAGAGACACAGGTGAGTCAGGTGAGACATGTGAGACAGGTGAGACAGGTGAGACATGTGAGACAGAAGTGAGACAGAGACACAGGTGAGACACAGGTGAGACATGTGAGACAGAAGTGAGACCAGTGAGACAGAGAGACAGGTGAGACAGGTGAGACAAATGAGACAGGTGAGACAAATGAATGAAGTCAGATGAATGAATTTACCTGGTGGAGATTTGATATCCTTCAGGCTGAGGCACACATGGAACACCTGCCACCATTACTCCGCCCACCACATCCTGGTACTTGGTGCCCAGATTAGACCCTGAGATCGTCACCAGAACCCCGCCCTCTAGAGGCCCAGAAACAGGCTGCACCTGCAGACAGACAGCTGTCAGGTTTTTGTTGTAACAAACTAACCAGCCCTGCAGCCAGATCGTTCTGTGGACTCACCTGTGTGATCCGAGGAGACGGACAGGTGTCTGCAGGTACACCGGAACATGACTGCCTGTAAACACAACTGGAGGCGGGGCTTCCTGAACACCACACACAGTCGTACTCCTGTGGCACCGCCCTGCACTGGGAGCAATCTGATTGGCCGGCTGAGCAGTCGTACAGCTGGACTACATGCAGGTGAGAAACAAAGAGTTCTGACTACAGAGGTGAGTCTACACCACCTGAACGTGTGACAGACAGGTACAAACAACACCTGGAGAGAGTCTACACCACCTGAACGTGTGACAGACAGGTACAAACAACACCTGGAGAGAGTCTACACCACCTGAACATGTGACAGACAGGTACAAACAACACCTGCAGAGAGTCTACACCACCTGAATGTGTGACAGACAGGTACAAACAACACCTGGAGAGAGTCCACACCACCTGAACATGTGACAGACAGGTACAAACAACACCTGGAGTGAGTCTACACCACCTGAATGTGTGACAGACAGGTACAAACAACACCTGGAGTGAGTCTACACCACCTGAACGTGTGACAGACAGGTACAAACAACACCTGGAGTGAGTCTACACCACCTGAATGTGTGACAGACAGGTACAAACAACACCTGGAGAGAGTCCACACCACCTGAACATGTGACAGACAGGTACAAACAACACCTGCAGAGAGTCTACACCACCTGAATGTGTGACAGACAGGTACAAACAACACCTGGAGAGAGTCCACACCACCTGAACATGTGACAGACAGGTACAAACAACACCTGCAGAGAGTCTACACCACCTGAATGTGTGACAGACAGGTACAAACAACACCTGGAGAGAGTCCACACCACCTGAACATGTGACAGACAGGTACAAACAACACCTGCAGAGAGTCTACACCACCTGAATGTGTGACAGACAGGTACAAACAACACCTGGAGAGAGTCCACACCACCTGAACATGTGACAGACAGGTACAAACAACACCTGCAGAG